TAGAACTCAATCACAGACTACAGGCCGTGCAATAATACTTTAGTCAATATCAAACTGGATACGACTTTCTTACCAATCTTTCAAGACTCATAGATCAAGTCCTTCTCGATTCACTGCACGAGGCATATAATTATTCTAACACCGAAATCAAAGCGGAGTATTATTCCAACTCATGTATTTTTTAAGTTTTTGATAAGTTTATGATACAGCTAAAATTAATGAACGTAATAGCTGAATCATAATACAGATTTTACGTAGATATTTACTAGTGTAGTTAACTAATAACAATCGTAGTTAGATTACTGATAATGCACAACGTCATATATAAATATAGGTATGTTCAGGTTTACAGATATAGGGTTTACCCCGATATTTACTACAGACTAAAAAAATTCCCAGCGCAAGTTGACACTTTTGATACATGTGTACAGTGCATTTTAACAACTTCTATAGGAAAGGGAAAAGAAACATAAATCAATAGTAATTTCTATTCAAATTTAAATCTTGTACAGGTTCTAAGATAGCTTGATCCTCTCTTTCTGGAGTGCTTTTTATTTACATGCATTTATTTGCTTTTCTCACTTTCCCTTAGGTCAAGATTTGAGAAAGAGGAGGGGGGTGGGCACAGTGGGTATCAAGGGGGTGGAGGACAGTAGGTATCAAGGGGGGGGGGGTCAGCAATATTGAGTTTACACCAAAAACCTTTTATTCAAGTCAAATAAGGCTCGACCGCTTTGATTTTTTTTGGAGAAGTGTCCAAGTCGTAGTAAGGCTGTGTTAAAGATCTAAAATCCTAAAGAAAACTGGTAATTTCCTTGAAAACTCTTAAAGTAGGAATCTAAAAACGAATCAGAGACGAAACATTACTTGGACACGTTATCACCTCTAAAATGTATAAACCAGGTTCACAGGATCCTTTAATGGTTAAATATATGAAGGGGAACAGAAGTTATAAATTGAAATCATTATAAATCAATATGCAAGCCACAATTGATGCAATGTTTGAAAATGAAAAGGTTATTAGAATATATTCATTTTGTCAAAATTCCCCCCCCCTCTGACCCCCTAAAATACCCCACAGTGGGGTGGGGGAATTGAAATGTGAAAAGATACAATTCAGTTAGAGATAATATTCGGCCCTGATGTAGAAGAGAAGATACTGCTTGTAATACTGCAGAACTATTTTATATTCTCAAGTTACTCTCAAATATTTTATGGAAGGAGAAGAAATGAATATTGTCGCCAGTGTAAGGTTTACAATGAACATTTTAGTGGAAAATATTAAATAAATGTAATGCATGTTAATATAATTCATCTTCTTTCTTCTAGACAGAACAGCACGAGGAAGGAGAAATTAAGTTCTATAATGTTGCAATAAATGAATGGAAACCATTAATAGATGAATGCGAAATGAATTAATGAATAAAAGGATGGGTTGATAGATGAATGGAAAAATGAATGAAAAGGAAGGATGATTGAAAGAATGGATAAATGAAAGGGTGAATAGCTGAAAAAATAAATCAATGTATTTTTCTTGTCTGAGATGTTTATATCACAATATTAAAAAAAAAATTGGAAAGATGCTAATAAAAATAGTTAAAAAGTAAAGGAATATATATGTTTAAATGAATAAACACATAAATGATTAAATGAAAAAATAACAAAAGTAACATGTATTAATAAGTAAATTAAGAAATATGTTTAAAGTAATTTAAAAATGAATTACTAAAAAAAGGAAAAAATATGAATTATTGAAAACGTGGGAGTTGTAACTTTCCTAGAAATATTCTTCAAATCTGGGAATTTCTTTCAAAAAAGAAAATTCACAATTTCTGCTTTAAATTAAAAAGTCACCAATATAGCATAGTATTTTGTATCATAAAAAATATTGTAAAAGAAAAATTGAATACTGTTGAAGCATGGAATTGATTTTAAACATATTTCTCAACTAAAAATACATCAAAGCTAAGTTTTGATTGAAATATCGTGTACAACTCTGCATCAAGAAATGGCAAAAGATAAAATGATAAAATCTTGAAATAAAAAGGTCTTTATCCAACTTTGAGGGAATGTATTCCACATAATATTTCCCGTTGTAAAGTGATAAAGTTACTTTATCACCCTACAACAGGGTGATTAAAATGTCACTTTATCGACCTGCTATTGAATAAGTTGAGTAAAACTATTCATACTATTGTAATGGTTATCATGCAAGCGAAAAAGCATTTACTGTGAATTTTACTTTTTCTTGTTTGTTTTCGATCAAAATAAAAGTATTTTTACACCTCGCTACGTTCGGTGTGAAATTACTTTCATTTTAATCATAAAAAACCTATAGAAAAATTAAAATCTAGGCAAAGATTTTCACCCTTAATAATACCCATTACAATAACATAAATAGATCTAGCACATATGAATAAGAAATTTGTTATTCTGACAGAAAAATTTAAGTCTTTATGTCAATACAAAACCGTGAATTTATTCTACAGACACTGAAAACTAGACAAATGGAAATGATTTGAATTATGTGGCATTACTGGTTCAGCTTTGTACCTATTTCGTACAACACTGAATATTTGTCTTAAAGATCCGTACATTTGTCTAACAAACCCATTACCCACCCATTTGTCTTAAAGACCTGTAACAACCACGTACATTTCTCTTATAGACCCATACATTTGTCTTACATACTCATACATTTCTCTTATAGACCCATACATTTCTCTTATAGACCCATACATTTCTCTTATAGACCCATACATTTCTCTTACATACCCCATACATTTGTCTTATAGACCCATACATTTCTCTTATAGACCCATACATTTCTCTTATAGACCCATACATTTCTCTTACATACCCCATACATTTGTCTTATAGACCCATACATGTGTCTTATAGACCTATACATTTCTCTTGTAAACCTGTACCTATTTCTTACAACCCAATACATTTGTCAACATACCAGTCAATATGTCATAAAGACTCGTACTTTGTCTAACATACGTGTACATTTGTTTAGCATACCTGCACATTTGTCTAGCATACCTGTACATTTGTCTAGCATACCTGCACATTTGTCTAGCATACCTGTACATTTGTCTAGCATACCTGAGTCAATATGTCATAAAGACTCGTACTTTGTCTAACATACGTGTACATTTGTCTAGCATACCTGCACATTTGTCTAGCATACCTGTTCATTTGTCTAACATACCTGCACATTTGTCTAGCATACCTGTACATTTGTCTAGCATACATGTACATTTTTCTAATATACCTGCACATTTGTCTAGCATACCTGTACATTTGTCCAGCATACGTGTATATTTGTCTAGCATACCTGTACATTTGTCTAACATAACCGTACATTTGTATAACATACCCGTGCATTTGTCTAACAAAGCCGTATATTTATCAAACATAACCGTACATTTTTATAATATTACCGTACATTTGTCTAACATAACTGTACATAGGACTAACATACCCGTAAATTTTGTCTAACATAACCTATATTGGTCTAAAATACCCGTAAATTTGTCTAAAATAATCGTACATTAGTCTAACATACCCGTACATTTATCTGACATAACTGTATATTTGTCTGACATAACCGTACATTTTTCCAATATATCCGTACATTTGTCTAACATAACCGTACATTGTTTTAACATACCCTTAAATTTGTCTAACATAATCGTACAACAATCTAACATTACTGTAAATTTGTCTGAAATACTCGTACATTTGTCTTTTATAACCGCAAATTTGTCTAACATACCTGTACATTTGTCTAACATAACCGTACATTTGTCTAACATAACCGTACATTTTTCTAAAATAACCATACATTTGTCTATTATAACCATACATTTGTCTAACATAACCGTACATTTGTCTAACATAACCATACATTTGTCTATTATAACCATACATTTGTCTAACATAACCGTACATTTGTCTAACATAACCATACATTTGTCTATTATAACCGTACATTTGTCTAACATACCCGTACATTTGTCTAACATAACCATACATTTGTCTATTATAACCATACATTTGTCTATTATAACCATACATTTGTCTAACATAACCATACATTTGTCTAACATAACAGTACATTTGTCTAACATAACCGTACATTTGTCTATTGACTTTTACTCTTATATTTGTTTTAAAAGACCCGCTGATTAACAGAGATCTACGTTTATGTTATAAACATTTGTACTAATTTTATATTGGTCATAATCTAGTTATATCATTTCGAAAAGTATGCTAAGCTATTTATCGGAAAGTAGATTGTAGATTGAAGATTAAAGATGATAAATTCTTTTACATATCGATATAATATCATAAACATTTGGGAATGTCAAGACTCAATAAATCACAAAAATATTATCGCATTGTTTCTTTTTATATTAAATAAAATGGAAAAGGAACACGAACTAATATTTCTATTATTATTCTTATCTTCTATATAATAAAGATATAGGGATTAAAAGATCAGAGTTTGCTGCAAAGACTCAATTCCTTTGATTATCAAGAAGTGTATAGGTGGCAACAGAGAATTTATACACGACGTCACAAATGTCAAATATAACAAGGAAAACGAAGTTTTCTCACATTAATTGACATGTTTTACAAGATTAAATAAAAAAGTGTTTAAACAGAAAATAAAGAACACATAAAATTGCACTAGCCCTTTATTCTAAAATTATCACTATTATTAATAATTTTCTGTGTGACTTCACAAAAATTTCAAAAATTTGTCTCCAACAAAATTTGATTTCATTAAATTTTAAATTACAAAGAGAAAATGTTAACAATCAAATAGAAGATGGGTGGGAAGCGTCCTAAAATCGTGGTATATATAGATATATTGGGGGACGGGTTTCATAGACTAAAAAAATTCAATTTCTTTTTAAAATCATTTTCTTAATTCACGGGCAACGCCGACCGGGCACTTTAGCTAGCTATTATTATGATTACTTCAGGAGGAGCAGGATCCCGACTACCTGTAGTTCTCCTGATACACGGAGACTCCTACGCCTGGGGCTCTGGGAATATCTACGATGGGTCAGCTCTAGCAGCCTTCGGCAACATTTTAGTAGTCACTATCAACTATAGACTAGGAGTACTAGGTTAGTATTAATCACTATCAACTATAGACTAGGAGTACTAGGTTAGCAGTAATCACCATCAACTATAGACTAGGAGTACTGGGTTAGTAGTAATCACTATCAACTTCAGACTAGGAGTACTATGTTAGTAGTAATCACTATCAAGTATAGACTAGGAGTACTAGGTTTGTAGTAATCACCATCAACTATAGACTAGGAGTACTAGGTTAGTAGTAATCACTATCAACTATAGACTAGGAGTACTAGGTTAGTAGTAATCACTATCAACTATAGACTAGGAGTACTTGGTTAGTAGTAATCACTATCAACTATAGACTAGGAGTAGTAGATTATTAGTAATCACTATCAACTATAGACTAGGAGTCCTAGGTTAGTATTAGTCACTATCAACATATAGACTAGGAGTACTAGGTTAGTAGTAATCACTATCAACTATAGACTAGGAGTACTAGATTATTAGTAATCACTATCTAATATAGACTAGGAGTACTAGGTTAGTAGTAATCACTATCCACTATAGACTAGGAGTACTAGGTTAGTAGTAATCACTATCAACTATGGACTATGAGTACTAGATTAGTAGTAATCACTATCTACTATAGACTAGGAGTACTAGGTTAGTAGTAATCACTATCCACTATAGACTAGGATTACTAGAGTAGTAGTAGTCACTATCTACTATACCAGATTAGTAGTAGTCACTATCTACTATAGTCTAGGAGTACTAGGTAAGTAGTAGTCACTATCTACTGTAGTCTAGGAGTACTAAATTAGTAGTATTCACTATCTGCTATACTAGATTAGTAGTAGTCACTTTCTACTATAAACTAGGAGTACTAGGTTAGTAGTAATCACTATCAACTATAGACTATGAGTCTATAGACTATGAGTACTAGATTAGTAGTAATCCCTATCAACTATAGACTAGGAGTACTAGAGTAGTAGTAATCACTATCAACTAAAGACTAGGAGTGCTAGGTTAGTAGTAATCACTATCAACAATAGACTAGGAGTACTAGATTAGTAAAAGTCACTATCTACAATACTAGATTGGTAGTTCTGCTATAGTCTAGGAGTACTAAGTTAGTATAGTCACTATCTACTATAGTCTAGGAGTACTAAGCTAGTATAGTCACTATCTACTATAGACTAGAAGACCAGGTTACTTGTCACTTTGACTAGGCTAGGCAAGAAACTAAATTTTATCGAATATTTTCTTTTTAACAATCCCATTCCTGATTTAATTCAATTTCTCGAAGAACGTGTCTAAAATTTTTTTAATATCAAATCCACAGAACGAAAGTGTATTAGGTCTTTTTTGTCAGATATCTCACGTTCCTGATGGTTAAATAGAATATAAATAATGCTATGAAATAAATGCACTTTTCTGCTAAATCTAATTCAATATGTCTGGACACCGCAACCTTGAAATAAACCTCTCCTCTCGTTTTTGTCCTTTTTCAGGATATATATATATACTTTGCTTGTCTGGGTGTCTGTCAACATTTTTTTGTGACCTCGTGTGACCCCAGGAAAGGTTTATGAATGAACGACTTTTCACAAATTTGTCTCTAACAAAATTCGAGTTGAAAAAGAAGATGGGCGCGAAGCGCCTTAAAAGCACAGTTCCTAATATTCTATATCGAGCAAATTTTCCAGACTGCATATATGTAGTTAACCCTAGACGACCCCCTCCCCTCTCGTTTTTTCGTAAATCAAAAACGGGTTGATGTATAGATAAAGCCCATATCTTTTTTACTAATTGAACCAAATGGAATAGAATTAATGAAAACTTTTAAATTCAGATTTTTGAAAAATGAGAAACCTTGAAAAGAAAAGTTGGATTTATGTTTCACACTGCTCTATCTCAACTCTAAGGGCAAAATCAAAGAGGGGTCGAATACACCCCTCCCCCCAATCTGGTAATTTCCTAGAGAACGATTATTGGACCACACCCCACACTACCCCCCCCCGGGCCCTCTCCCCCTCCTCCTTTCAATTTTGTACATGGATAACACCATACAATTGATCATGTGGCCGCAGCGCCCGGCTCCCTAGCTAGCCTGTTCTAGCCGTGGCGATCGGCCCCCTAGCCTGTCCTAGCCGCAGCGCTCGACCCAGAAATTGTCCTAACCTACCCTAACCTAAAATAATAATAAAAAATAATAATATTTTTGCTGAAAAATGAAAAATAAGTCATGTACAAAATTGATAAAAACTAATACATACCAACTAGAATAGGGTTAAAGACTAAAATGATTTGAATTCCAGATTTTCCTAATTGGGTTTTAAATTAACATCTGGCCACTGGACAAGTCTACTTTAGTGTATTATCCAAGAGTTTATTATACAAAAGACAAGATTTCTAGATGTTAAAACTAGAATAGTCTAGTTTAGTGTATTATACACTAAACAAGATTTCTAGATGATAAAACTAGAATGCTCTAGTTTAGTGTACTATACAATAGACAAGATTTCTAGATGATAAAAACTTGAATAGTCTAGTTAGACAAGATTTCTAGATGATAAAAACTAGAGTAATCTAGTTTAGTATATTATACACTAGACAAGATTTCTAGATGTTAAAACTAGAATAGTCTAGTTTATTGTATTATACACTTAACAAGATTTCTAGATCATAAAACTAGAATAGTCTAGTTTAGTTTACTAGACACTACATGACAAGATTTCTAGATGATAAAACTAGAATAGTCTAGTTTAGTTTACTAGACACTACATTACAAGATTTCTAGAAGATAAAACTTGAGAAACTTAATTCCTTCCATCTATATCTCCCACTTGAAACTAACTACAAGAACACAGTAGTATATTTATCCACAATCTTACACTCTTATAAATCTTAGAACTTACTACAAACTTCCCTGGATATTTCTTTCCAACCAAACCCTGACATGTGCCTATCTAATACAATATAGTCAATGGAACTAACCAAACCCTGACATGTGCCTATCTAATACAATATAGGCAATGGAACTAACCAAACCCTGAAATGTGCCTATCTAATACAATATAGGCAATGGAAATAGCTCAATCTAAATCCCATAATGTCTTTGCAGCTTGATATTGTAAATCATAAATTCTAATTTTTTTAATTCTAATTGTTTGATTTGAAAATGCATAATATTTAATGTCTCCAAAATCAGGTTGCAAAGTATAGGAATTAGAAGATTAGCTTTTGAGGCGAGTAATAAGTTAATTTCTTTTCAATCAAATCTATACATATTCTTTTCCAACCAATGCAGACATACATTTTTCAATCCAATCCAAAATATGTCTTTCCAATCCAAACTCAGATATATAAAAATCCTGCCATACCCAAAATGTTTTTTTTCCAATAAAATGTTGATAATATATTTCATAATAATCCAATTTAAACATATTAAAATCCAGTTCTATCGAAAATATTTCTTCCCAATCCAATCCTGATATATTTCATTCCAAACCAATCCTGATATATTTCATTCCAATCCAATCCTGATATATTTCATTCCACTTCAATCCTGATATATTTCTTTCCACTTCAATTCTGATATATTTCATTCCAATCCAATCCTGATATATATCTTTCAAATCCAATCCTGATATATTTTATTCCAATCCAATCCTGATATATTTCTTTCTAATGCAATCCTGATATATTTCATTCCAATGAAATCCTGATATACTTCTTTCCAATCCAATCCTGATATATTTTATTCCAATCCAATCCTGACATATTTCATTCCAAACCAATCCTGATATATTTTATTCCAAACCAATCCTGATGTATTTCATTCCAAACCAATCCTGATATATTTCTTTCCCCTTCAATCTTGATATATTTTTTTCAAACCAATCCTGATGTATTTCATTCCAAACCAATTCTAATATATGTCTTTCCACTTCAATCTTGATATATTTCTTTCCAAACCAATTCTTATATATTTCATTCCAAACCAATCCTGATATATTTTATTCCAAACCAATCCTGATATATTTCATTCCAAACCAATCTTGATATATTTCATTGCAAACCAATCCTGATATATTTCATTCCAAACCAATCTTGATATATTTCATTCCAACCCCCTCTCGATATATTTCTTTCCAATCCAATCCTGATATATTTCTTTCCAATCCAATCCTGATATATTTCTTACCAAACCAATTCTGATATATTTCTTTCTAATCCAATCCTGACATATTTCTTTCCAAACCAATCCTTATATATTTCTTTCTAATCCAATCCTTATATGCTTCTTTCTAATCCAATCCTTATATACTTCTTTCTAATCCAATCTTGATATTTTTCATTCCAATCTAATCTTGGCATGTTTCAATCCAATTCAATCATATCCTATTTCTTTTGAATCCAATCCAGCATTATTTCGTTCCAATCCAATCCGGGATTTGTTAAGGCATTTTTTAGTGGTTTTTTTTAAAACAGATTGATAAATGCATATTAATTTTCAAAAACTGTTGAAAAATATTGTACAAAAGAAAATATACTTTTTGATGTATTATGGTATTCTCTGGTTAGAGCTTATATACTGGTTTGATCCATCTTTATATTCAGAAAACGTAAAAGAGAAATATACATAAACTCCTAAATCCATTCTTTAAACCGTTCCCTGCATCCCTCTCTCCCTCCCTCCACCTACACACTACACACAGGCATTTTAACTTTTCTCATTCACTTCAAACCAGTCCAAGTCTAGATCTTTACAGTATTATAGAAACATAGGTTACAGGGAAGGAACATAGATAGCAGGATAAAAACAGAGTTTATAGAGTAGAAACATAGATCATAGGGTGGAAACATAGGTTACAAGTTTGGAGCATGGTTAATAGATTGCAGAATAGGAACATGATTACAGGGTAGGAACCTAGATTACAGGGAAAGAGCATAGATTACAGAGTAGGAACATAGATTACAACTTATGAATATTGAATACCGATTAGAAACATAGATTACAGAGTAAAAACATAGATTACAGGGT